AAGCCCGGCATACGCTGAGTGCTCAATAAATAATACCATGGTTGGTTGAAATAAGTTGCTGAATCACCCTCTTGTCTGTTTGACTTCATCTCACATTGGATTCAACCAGGCAATTATTAAGTAGGCGGACTTCACATACAATGACATCTACAAAGTGATTACTTTTTCTGTTTTTTAAAAAAATAAAGATGGATTCCACTATTTACATGTATTTTTCTATGTCTATTACTTATGCAAGAAATCACTAGTCTGCATTGGTATGGTACTAGATTTCTAGGTTACTGGTATGGATATTCCAAAAGGAAACAGTAGAAGGCAGTCAAGATTTTACGGATATCATCCACACTCGGGAAAACTATTTTGCCCATTTCTCAGAAGACTTTAAAAAGATTAAAATTGCACAAAAGGATCACATTTTTGTTCCCAGTGCTGCATGTCAAGCATCAGTGCTGGAGTTTATGTTTGCCTCTGGCTACTCTAAGCAGCTCTGCTCCAAAGTCCCTCACACTTCCCCACCAGAAGGGCCCTCTGAGGGGCACTAACTAGATGGCAACCTAGTTTCAAAATTCTTTCACTTCCTCTGCATCTTCCTGTGTTCCAGGCCCTCAGGACCTTTCTATCTGCCAGCTGATCTTATTAACCAGTTGAAGTTGTACAAAAATGAATAAGATTCTAAAGGTTTGTGAGAATGGTGCTCCTTCTTAGGTAATACTGCCTTTTATTATAGCTCAACTGGGTAGAATTTCTTATTCAAAGAAATGTCTCTGATAGTGAGAATTTCAAATCCTATGTTGGCGGATGGATAAATGCCTTGTACGTAGGGATGCTCTGCCCTCCTCATATCACTTTAGACTGCTACCTGTAATGTACTCATCCTTGACCACAAACACATCTCCTTCACCTCAGGACTTTTCTTCTTCTTCTCCTGAAACCAGCTAGGAAGTTTCAGGCAAAGAGAAAATATGATTCTCATGAACCTTTGTCGATCTTGTTACTTACTTACTACACTCTCGTGGCTGGGTAGATCAAAGGACAACCACAGACACAGATATACTAGCAAAACTCTTAGGGTTCAATACAGAACTATCAGCAAAGAGAGCCTACCAAAAACACGTGAGGCAGTGAGGGCTGTGAGAATCTACCTCCCAAGTTAACCCAACGCCTTGGGAAAGACACTAGCCTCCTCATTTATATTCTGAACTGCTCTTGATAAAAACATACTGGGAAGAGTAACTTACCCTAAGAGTCCCCAGTTCAGAAAAAATGGACTGTTTGCTTTACAAACCCTAGTGAGTACTCATCATTGATTAGTTTGAGTCTTCAAAATATGTGTTATGTAAAATATATTGTGTGTGCGCAAATGAGAGGCTGGAGAGGGATAGGGAGTCAGGAAGAGAGATAGAGGTGTGTGCACGTGCACACACACACATACACAGAGGTACCCTTTGGAAGAGAAAGAAAACTGGAAATAATCCCATTGAACTTGATGAGGTCCCACCAGAGTAGCCCTGAGTCCAAGTCAAAATTGCAGGCAGACTCCAAAAGCTCACATTCCTAGAATCATTCCCTTCCAATGGGTCTAAATCGAAAATGTGTCTTCAGGCCCTAAACACCCCTTTGTTCAGACAGAAAATTGGAAACCACTTGCTCAGCAACCCTTCAGCTTGATGAGTTGGAATTACTACTGAGAATTCCAATCCAAGTGATAGATAGGCAGCTACGGGAGTTCTAAATGATGCTTGGATGGGATTCTGGTACCTACGGAAAGTCAGGGAGAATATCTGCCACAAGGGGGAGCAGGAGAATTTGGTCAGATGGGAGACAATTTGGTAGAGCTTCTGATGAGGGGTCTCACTATGAGGTCTGCATGAACTGGGAAGATGTTTTGGCAACAGACATTTATCCCTTAGGAGACAAAATAACATTTAAAAAGGATGAAAGGATCAGGAAGAAAAGAGAGATCATTGTGTGTTGATTCCTAAGTTTTTAGCACATGTAAAGCAACAATTTTCAGTTAAAAGCAACATACACACACTCTGCAGAAATACAAACGATGAAAGATATGTGCTCTACCATCCTGTTTTAATTGTGTATTTCTTCATCCTGATTTAATCCCATTATGTGTTGATCTTATCTAGTTCCGTGCTGATGAGGCAGATTGCCCGCATTTTACCTACAGGCTATTCTCCCTCTATCTGAAGGCATCATGAAGAAAGGGCTTCTCTCACTGAACTGCAACATGAAAATCAGATAGTAAAGTCCTAAAATTCACTTTCTTTGGAAGAAGTGCATCCATCCGCGAGTTAAAGAAATGATTTAACTGGCTTTAAAGGAAGAATGCAACTTCATTGGATCTGCAGAGCTCTCCTCATCAGTTATTTTGTCAAAGAAACACATTAAGTACTTAGAGGGAAGGAATCATGCGTTTACTTTGCAAGATAAATAAAAGTCTATTTTTGTCTGATAAAAAACATGTTAAATATAGCTTGCTAACAAAATGCTGAAGCTTTCTTGGAATATTTTTTTTTTCTCAAAACAGTAAGCTTAAAAGAGCAATTAGCATAATTCTTGCAAATAGTCCTGTAGGTGTTACTGACTACATTTCACCTTCCTTCTATGATTGTATTTAGAGGTAAAATACTGCACTGTTATGCATTTTATTCCCCTTCATGGTCAGCAAAAGGCTTATCTAGTTCTCAATCTTAATCCAAAAAGATACAGTGGAAACAATTAAATAGTAACAGTGAAAAGTAAACAGAAAGGTAGACAGTGCAATAGGTAGGTAGGTAGATGAATAGATGATAAAGTATTGCCTTCATATTCTTTTCATTCCTTGCTCTCCTCTTCCAACCCGGCTAAGCTTGCAAGACAGAGTAAATGAAGTCTGATTGTCATGGACACTGACATCCTTTGCAGCGTCTGCACAGCTCAACAGTGAATAGTAGTTTACCTTTGTCTAGTTTTGTTTGTTTTTTTCCTTAGGAATTAAGCATTCCATATTCAATAAATGACAACAGCCATTTTAGGGGGAGAGCATGAGTCCTCTTATAGTGGCTGGGAGAAATCTTAGCTAAAGAGCCCTTAGATCCAAATGGCATCCTCCAAGCAGGCGGAATTTATAAAATGAAAACCATTTGAGAAAACACATCTTGCTTCTTGACAAAATAAATGAATCCCCCCCCCACCTTTTCAC